GCTAAAATGTGTAGAGTTTTCTTGTTGAATATTAAAAATGTTTTAAAATGGACTAGGGTGATCCTGTAGAATTCTGTGAACAGCCTAATGGTTATTGATTATTTTTAAAACATCACATTTATCAAAATTAAAAATTTATGAACATCAAAAACACTTGTGTGAAAATGAGAAGGGAAGGTATAGGTTAAATATCATTATGTGTAAATATATGCATATTTGACAAAGAATGTAAGCCACTAATACATAAAGAACCCCTACAACTTAATAATGAAAGAAAGCCTAAATAAAGAACAAGTTATTGGGTTAAATACTGATAGAGGAAATGGTGGCAGATTCTTTTTAAATATGATGTTATGCCCTCTCCTGTCTCTCCTGCTGTTCCCCTCAGCAGTGCACTTCATCCAGCTGCCTGTTCTGCTCCCCATTCTGTCTCTGTGACTCCTCTCACTGCCCCTGCACCTCTAGTCTGTACCCCAGTTCTGCATAAATATGGTGGTGGGAAAACTATGGTGACCACACCTAACGGAAGAAATCCAACATTGTGATAAAACAAACAAGGATGCAAAAATTATACATTATTAAGAAAAAACTATAATATGTAACTATGGTGTTTAAAGAAGACCTTTAAGAGGAGAAGATGCCTCACGAGAATCAAGAATAAAAGAAAGGAGTCTGTCATTTCAGTCTCTTGTAAAGGAATGTGCCCAGGTTGTAAATAGCAGTTTCAAAGTACAAAACCTAAATAAACTTGGTTTGTTCAAGATTCAGCAGATTCAGTATTGCCAAGGCATTTGAAGACAGTACCCATAAAGTAATTGGGAGAATGACTAATAGAAGCAAAGAAAGCTGACACTTACTAGGAACCTTTCTCTGGGGGAAGATATTGCCTCATAATGTCAATAATAATGACGTAGCAAGACATCTTCCATATCCTGCCTCAAGTCTCTAATTGCCCGCATATAGGTGTGTTTAGAAAACCTATAATTCAGAGTGCGTATTTGTATGTGCACCAAACAGCATTTATACTAAATTCTCTAGCTGTATAACTAGCACAGTAATTCATCCAGACTGTACTCGAATTCTCAGGTCCTACATATGGTCCTTCAGAGCCTGCTATTAATACTCGGTTTTATCAGCTCAAAACGTTTCTCATTCCTACCTGTCTGCGGTTGCACTGCAATCCCTGATCATTATTTCAACCTGACCCTCTGCAAATCCTAGCTATTCATTCCACTTACAATTTTGTGCTTTCAGCATCTTGCCACAGAACTGCATTTTATTAGAACACAAATCACATTATGCTTTTTTATATTTTTCTGATTTTGAAAATCTACCTGAGTTTTCCTTATCTAATGTTCTTTGGGTATGTTGGGTATGTTGCAAAAGTGTTTTATGAGAAAATAGTCTCTTGTCATACTTGTTTGGAAAATGCATTTACTTTATTTTCCCATAAGAGATACAAAAGCACATTATCAAAAGAATTCTAAAACTATACTGTGTTTGGGACGCTTATATAAATCACTTTACTCAGATAAAATATATTAATCTATAAACATATTTTATGCCACAACTGATAACATCTTTCTGAACTAGTATTCTAAGAACACACCTTGCCCTAAAAGAATAAAATAGGCGGTTCAAATTAGCATTAGAGTGAATAGAAACTGTAAATTATACACCATAACTATAGAGTGTGAAAAATGTGTTCCTTCAAATGCACTCATTTTTAGAACTTGGAAGGAACTTAAGGACAATCAAGCCCAAATTATGTATTTTGTGAGACAGGTACAGAAACATAAATTTATTTCCAGGTTATTTAACAGGTTGATGGCAATGCTAAGCTTAGGATTCCCAGTTTATTGCCACAGTATATAAACGCTACAATAAATAAATGCCTATTCAGGTTAAACATGTTTATTGTCCATTATAATGTACCTAATATATACAAAGATAGGCTGACAATTAAACTGGCAATTAAAATTGCATTTTTACTTACATATGTTAATAGAGTATAAATTCCTTAAAGATCAAAGCTTTGTCTACATTTTTAAAACACCCTAGTGTTTAACTGATAATTATGCACAAGAAGTAACTGGCATAACACATCCATATGATATATTTTTCCTTAAAAAACTTCTTATGCTGAAAAAAAAAACTTATGCTGAATTAGAAATATAAGCGAACTGAGCGAGACACTCAAGCCAATATATCAAAAAGAGCTGCTCAACTATAGTAGAACGATTGTCGCCAACAGCAAAATAACTGAGTGATACCCTTAGTCCAGCAAGGCGAACTGTGCAAGATAACCCTGGGATTTAAAAATAAAATATTTTATGTATATATAGAAGGGTATTGAACATATACCTTGTAGGCTGTAGAACATTCTAGGAAGGATAAAGGAAGTTACTGGAGTATAACTATCTCACCCTCCTGAATGAGTCCATGAATTAAAATCTGAGAAGGAATCAACTATTGAGTTTGCCCAGCTTTTGCTTTTGAGAAAGCCTCTGATCAAGTCTAAATACTAGCTAAAGTAAGTTCTTCTACATATTGGATAAAGATGTCCGTTTCCTAAGACACCTAGATTTTATTATACATTAAAGTAAAGCAATAGAAAAGTAGAAGAGTGACACTAGGATGAAAAAGCTCTGGGAGTAATCATGCGAGGCCACTTTTTGTTTTGGTATAGCTTTCTCCAGATGTTTCAGCATACTCTCAGAACTCCTACTTTGTTCAAATCAATTAATTTTGAGAAAAATAAGAAAATAAAGGTTGAGTAAATAGACAAATGTTGCTAACATGGAGAGTATTTTGGCTTTGAAACCAGATGTCAGTGGAACATTGGCCTAGAGCTTAATGGAACAACGTGGAGATGTAGTCAGGAGAGAAAGCAAAGGCGATGTGCCAGGGAACAGTGGAAAGAGTGAAGCTGGGTCACTGGTAGGGGAAAATATGAAGACTTTGCAGTTAGACTGAGTGTGATGGGAAGACATGCCATCAAAGATCAGCAGTTGCTGGGGATTATAAAAGAGTAACAAACACAACAATTGATTTTGGATGAAGTTTTCATTCCTTGTATGTACCACCAGGTAGCAATATATGAAGTCTTTGAAAAGTTGCAGAGGGATTATGTGTTAAAATAGCCCAGATTTGTTAGCACTGCTGTCTCCCACCAGAAGCCTATTTAGAAAGGATTCATTAAAGTAAGTAAATAAAAGTAAAGTAACTAAAAGTAAAGTGCTGTGAGGCAGAGTCTAGTACTAAGCATCCATGACCTACTTGCTGTTTATTAAAATAATTTCATGCTCTTCTCAGGCATGTACCAAAAATTTGGGACCAAGAAACCTGGAACAGATGTTAAGTCAAGCAACTGCCCACCCATCAGTTCCTATCCAACTCTGCTCAATTGTGCTGCAATTCTAAAAAAGGCCTATTAAAAGGGGGTAGAGGGGTAGGGTAGGGGTAGGGGTAGAGGGTTTAGTGGGCCCTCCTTCCCCTTCTCCTCCCCGCCCCCCCTCCTGTCCTTGGTGGCTCAATGGGTTAGGATGCAGCACTGCAAGCTGGCCGCAGCCTCTTCAGTGTGAGTTCGATCCCCAGTGCTGGAGGTGATGTGCATGGCACAGCAGACCTCTCCTGGCCCACCCGATGCTCCCCTCAGCAGTGTACTCCGTTGATCTGCTCCGCACTCTGTCTCTGGTGAAGCCTCTCACCAGCCCCTGCACCTCTAGCTTGTACCCCAGTTCTGTATGAATAACTAAATCTTTAAAAATAAATAAGTAAATAAATAAAAGAGGGAGGGGAAGCACTATTAAAACTTAACTGAGTTCAGGCCCTCCCTGGTCGTGCAGCGGGTTAAAGCACAGCACGAAGAAGCTAAAGCCACTTCAGCATGAGTTCGATCCCCACTCTGAGGTGACCCATATGGCACGGCAGACCTCTCCTGACCCGCCCACTGCTCCCCTCAGCAGTGTACTTCATTGATCTGCCTGTTCTGCTCCCCACTCTATCTCTGGTGAATCCTCTCACCACCCCTGTACCTCTAGCCTATAGCCCAGTTCTCTGTGCATAAATAAATCTTTAAAAAAAAAAAAAAAACTTAACTGAGTTCTAGTAAAGTTCCTCTGTCATTGAAAGATGATTTTCCTTTAAAAGATTAAAACATTTACTCTGGTCAACCAAAATTTTCTAAATACTCACTTTTTTATTTCTATATGTGAGGGGGTATTCTGTTCAACAAAAATCATTTTTAACATGCCTATTGTTTTCAATATTTTGCCTTATTGTGTATACTTTTCTTTTTTTATTTTTTTTTAAGATTTATTTATTCATTCATACAGAACTGGGGTACAAGCCAGAGGTGGAGGGGCAGTGAGAGGATTCACCAGAGACAGAGCAGGGAGCAGAACAGGCAGATCTAGAAAGTACTCTACTGAGGGGAGCAATAGGCGGGTCAGGAGAGGTCTGCAGCGCCATGTGGTCACCTCCAGGGCAGGCAGGGATCGAACTCATGAGGAAGTGGCTTTAGCTTCTTGGTGCTGGGCTTTAACCGGCTGCACCACCAGGGAGGGCCTTGTACATACTTTTCAAAAAAAGAGGGAGAAATTGTATTCTCTGAATTCTGCAGCTACTCTATTGCCATTTTATTTAAAATAGCTTTGCTTCAGGCCTTTCCTGGTGGGCAACCTTGGATGTATGATTTAAAAACTATATTCTTTGTTTTTTCTGTATTGCACACTAATTGTACTAATGTTCCTTTCCATTAAAGGTCTTTGCTTCACTAAGAACAAGTGGGTTAGATAGTCTTCTCTGATAATTTTGAGGATATTAGCTATCTGTGGGCTTTCTATTATCCCTGAATGTTACTGTGAAGTATTTTGTTCAACATTTAGAAAAAAAAAATTTTTTTTTTTTTATTTTTTTCTGTATACAGAACTGGTGTACAGGTCAGAGTGGAGGCAGGGGAGAATATTCACGAGAGACAGAGCGTGGAGCAGAACAAGCAGGTCAACGAAATACACTGCTGAGGGGAACAGCAGGTGAGACAAGGCTTTTCGAGTCACTGGGTTACCTCCTGATTTCACTAAAGCAGCCGCTAGCTTCACAGTGCTGAGCTTTTAACACATTGGCAACCTCCTTTTTAAATGCTACTCACTATATATTAGTGTTGAAGGAAGATGTGGGTGCAAAATAATTACCTGACTTTCACACTAATAAAGATATACATTTTATATCTTTATAAACTCAGTGACACCTTTTGGCTTACATACACAAGTATTTTTTAATACCTGAAATATTTGTTTTCCTCTATTTTCCATTTTTCTTTTTGAACTGTAACAATTATATGAACATTTGATTTTATCTTCTTTATTTATTGCATGGAGATCTACTTACTTATAACCTGGGTGTCTACCTTCAAGGTCCACTTTCAGGTTTGTAGCCAGCACATTTTCTCTGTGCCCTTGTATGGCAGAAAGGATGAGGGATAAGTATGGAGTCTCTTATAAAAAAAGAAATCCATTTATAAGAGCAATGTCCTCATAAATGAGGATGTAAACCCTTCCTCCTAGAGTTGTCACCTTTGGAGGTTGGGATGCAACATATGAACTTGGGGGTACCTAACATTAAGACCATAGCATAACACCAACAGTAAAAGTGGAAGGTCACCTCCCTACCAGATCTAGATACACTGACAGTTATTTTTTAAATTTTAGTTGTGGTATCTCATGCTCATGTGCATATTCTTAATAACTAATGATTTTGAGCATATTTTAATGTTTTTGATCATATGTATATCATTTTTTGAACACTGTCAAGTTTTAACCATTTTAATTAGACATTTAGTTGTAACTCTTTTCATTTTCAATACATAGCCTTCAGCTATATGAATTTAAATACCATCTCAGACCTTGCTTTTTAGTATCCTATCAGTGTTTACATTAATGAACAATAGTTCTTGATTTTAATGAACTCCAGTGATAAGTATTGCTTCCATGCTATTTTTGTTTTCTAGTTAATAAATCATTGGCAACCTTATCATGAACATATTCTTACGATTCTTCTATAAGATTTAATATTCTACTTTTTATATTTAAACCTTTGAATACCCTCCAGTCAATTTTTGCCAGGTAGGGGAAGACATATTTGATAAGGCCTATTATTAAGAAAGTGTGCAAGGCACACGGGAGTGGGGGAAGTGAGTTAAGTAACCATGCACAGCTTCAATTCTCCATTTTGTAATGTTACTTAATGATACATTTGAAAACTTAAAAGATGTTACAGGCCCTCCCTGGTGGCGCAGCAGGTTAAAGCACAGCACTGAGAAGCTAAAGCCACTTCCGCATGAGTTCAATCCCTGCCTGCCCCGGAGGTGACCACATGGCGTGGCAGACCTCTCTTGACACGCCCGCTGCTCCCCTCAGCAGTGTACTTTGTGGATCTGCCTGTTCTGCTCCCCACTCTGTCTCTGGTGAAGCCTCTCACCCTCTGCATCTCTGGCTTCCACCCCAGTTCTGTATGAATGAATAAATAAAAGACAGATAAATGCTCCTGACTAAAAATCAAACATGTGTTAACACTTCTAAAGTGGATGAGAAAATTAGTTTCATGTTTCATTAGTGATTTTAATGAACCTTCAAGCAAAATGGCATTACTTTATTATTTATTGTAAGATTTCCCACAATTAATGGAGTATATTGCAGCTGTGATTCATAATGGACATATGCAGAAAATTCTCTAAATTGATGGACTGACTTTCTGCATTTGTGAATGTTTACTGAGAAGATTCCTTTTCCTTCCTGACTGGTAGTGTTAGCGGTTGAATATGTACATATGTTCCCTTCTTTTTCTATCCCCTGCTGTATGAACATCACACATTTCCTTTTACCTCTGAATCCAATTGAGAAACAAAATTTTAGATGTGCTTTTCCATTATTTTTTTTCCCCCAGTGGATCATTTTGAAACAGGAAATCTCACCCACCTACTGAAATCCGTTTCCCTTAAAGTTCAGTTTTGTTGATTTATCATTTAAAGTCCTACTTTGGTGACACTCTTTTGGGTTTTTGAGGTTTATTTTAGATGGATACTTCTTTCTCACATCGTTGTTAATTTTTAAATCTGATGATTCCCTAAATTGAGAATAGAAGAACTGGAGTTAAGTACTTTTAGATCT